CTTCAACACACAGTGCTGAGAAAACTGGATATCCATATGAAGAATGAAACTGGATCCTACTGTCTTAGTCCACTAGGGCTGCTATAACAACAACAAAAACAAAACAAAACAAAACAAAACCAAAAAAAAAAAAAAAACAGGAATAGAGGGAGGAGGTAGAAAGAGCAGCAATAAAGAGCAGAATTGTATTTCTCACACATTTGGGGGCTGGAAATTCCAAAATAAAGGTACTGGAAAAGTTAGTATCTGTTGAGGTCAACTTCCTAGTTAATAGGGATCCCTGGGTGGCTCAGCGGTTTGGCGCCTGCCTTTGGCCCAGGGCGTGATCCTGGAGACCCAGGATCGAATCCCACATCAGGCTCCCGGTGCATGGGGCCTGCTTCTCCCTCTGCCTATGTCTCTGCCTCTCTCTCTCTCTGTGTGTGTGACTATCATAAATAAATTTTTAAAAATTAAAAAAAAAAAAACGTCCTAGTTAATAGACAAGCCTTTTCTTGCTGTGCCCTCACATGGCAGAGGAGGTGAGGGAACTCTCTAGGGCCTCTTTTATGAGGGCACTAATAATCCCATTGATGAGAGCTCCACTCTCATGACCTAATTACTTTGCAAATGTCCCATCTCTAAATGCCATCACATTGAACATTAGGATTTAACAGAATGTTTGGGGGCACACAAACATTCAGTCTGTAGCACTAAACTTACACCATGTACAAAATACAAAGTGGATTAAAGAGGCTATGTAGGAAGACGGTGAGGAAGGGGAGGACCCCTAGGCTCATCTCCTCCCATGAACACAATTACATAACTATCGAATCATCCTAAATACCCCAAACATTGACCTTAAGTCTGACAGAACAAATTCCACAACTAAAAGAAGAGAAGAAGCCACATCAAAAAAGGCAGGAAGTGTGAAGATGTGGTTTAGGGGAGAAGTGGATCATGGGTGCTGTGGCAGGGAGCTATGGTCATAGCTATGGACGAGAGAGAAAGAGAAAGAGAGAGAGAGAGAGAGAGAGAGAGAGAGGAACACACAAGAACATGTCCCCAAAGCCACTGCCCTGGAAGATGAAGGGTGCTGAATTTCACAAGTTCTTGCAACCAGTAGATCTAAAGCTGGAGTTTTAAAGGTCAGCAGGCTTGACTGGGAAAGGGCCAGAAGGCTACTGTGCTGCTCCTGAAGAAAAAGCAGGCAAACAACCCAGGGGCAGACAGTATGAAAACAATGACCTGAAGAACACCTGGGGAACATAGGGGTAGATTAGTCTGTCTTCTTGGATCATATCCCTAAGAGGCAGCATTCATGGATATACCTCTACAGGAACAAAGGAGCTAGCCATTTTCCTCCTGTGCTGCTCAGCATAAACACAGAGCCACCTACAGGAAGCACCACACTGGGCTGCCTAACTTGCTTATTCCAAGCCCACCCTGCATTCTGGTGGGACTCCCCTTCCCAGTCAAGCTTGCTGCAATCACACACTCCAGACACACTCCCTAAAATTCCAAGCCCTGAAAACTACATGACCATAAGGCCATTCCTTTAAGACGAGGGGGAGACACAATTGCCTTTTCTAACACAGAGAAGGAAGTGGAGACTTAGGCAAAATGCCAAAATGCAAGAATTCATCCTAAATGAAAGAATAATATAAGGTCATAGCCAGAGATCTAAGCGAAACTGATATAAGAAACATGCCTGATGGAGAATTTAAAGCAATAACCATAAGGACACTCACTGGACTTAGGAAAAGAATAGAACACATCAGTGACTTCATCAAATATAATAACATTCCTATTATGGGAGTCCCAGAAAAGAGAAAAAGAGGGTAGAAAATTGTTTTAAAGAAATAATATCTCAAAACTTCCCTAATACAAGGAAGAAAACAGACATCCAGATGCAGGAGGTACAGATAACTCCCACAAAAATCAACAAAAGCAGGCCAACATGAAGACATAGTGTAATTAAATTTACAAAATACAGTGATAAATAAAAAATCATAAAGGCAGAGCACCTGCGTGGCTCAGCTGATTGTCTGACTTCGGCTCACATCACGATCTCAGAGTCCTTGGATTAGGACCTGAGCCAGACTCCCTCTCTTGCTGCCCTTGGCAGTGTACACACTCTCTCCCTCAAATAAATAAATAAAATCTTTTTTAAAAAAAATGATAAAAGTAGTAAGACAAAAGACATCCTTAACTTACAAGGGAGGACCCATAAGGCTAGCTAGAGATTTCTCAACAGAAACTTGGCAAGCCAGAGGGAGTGGCATGATATATTAGAGGTGCTGAATGGAAAAAAATCTGCAGCCAATACTCTATCTAGCAAGGTTATCATTCAGAATAGAAAGAGAGAGAGTTTCTAAGACAAACAAGAACTAAAGGAGTTCATGAACACTAAATCAGCTCTGCAAGAAATATTAAAGGGGATTCTTTGAATGGAAAGGAGAGACCAAAAATGACAAACAGAAGAAAGGATCAGAGAAAAATCTCAAGAAATAATGAAAAAAACAAGCAATAAAATGTTAATAAATACATATCTGTCAATAATTACTTTGAATGTAAGTGGATAAATGTTCCAATCAAAAGACATAGGGTGGGGGATCCCTGGGTGGCGCAGTGGTTTGGCGCCTGCCTTTGGCCCAGGGCGCGATCCTGGAGACCCGGGATCGAGTCCCACATCGGGCTCCCGGTGCATGGAGCCTGCTTTAAAAAAAAAGAAAAAAAAGACATAGGGTGCCAGAATGGATAAAAATCAAGACCAATGTATAAGCTGCCTACAAGAGACTTACTTTAGACCTAAAGACATCTGCCGACTGTAATGGGGGGATGGACAAACATTTACCATGCAAATGGATGTAAAGGAAAGACTGAGAAGCATACTTATATCAGATAAACTATATATTAATCCAAAGACTGTTTTAAGACACAGGGAAGAGCACTATATAATCATAGAGGATAATCAAAAAAAACATATAACAATCATAAACATTTATGCACCAAACATGGGACACCCAAATATATCATACAATTAATAACAGATATAAAAGAAATAATATATAGTAATTCAATAATAATGGGGAAATTTAACACCCCGCTAAAATCAATGGACAGATCATCTAAACAGAAAGTCAACAAGAAAACAGGGGCTTTGAATGATACACTGGACTACATGGACGTAACAGATAGAACATTCCATCCTAAAACAGCAAAATACACATTCTTTTCCAAGGCACATGGAACATTCTCTAGTATAGAGCACATATTACATCACAAAATAGGCCTCAACAAAGATTGAAATCATACCATGTATCTTTCCTGACAAAATGCTATGAAACTAGGAGTCAACAGTAAGAAAAAATATGGAAAATTTACAAATACATGGAGGTTAAACAATGTGTTAACAATGAATGGATCAAAGAGGAAATCAAAGAAGAAATTTAAAAATACACAGAAACAAATGAAAATGTAAACATAACAGTCCATAACATATTTTGGTTGCAGCAAAATCAGTCCTAAGAGGTAAGAACATATCAATATAGGCCTACCTCAAGAAGTAAGAAAAATCTCAAATATACAACCTAACCTTATTCCTAAAGAAGCTAAAAAAGGGATAGCAAATGAACTGTAAAGCCAGCAGAAGTGAAATAATAAAAATTAGACCAGAGATAAATGATATAGAAACTAAAAACCACTAGAACATATCCATGAAACCAGGAGCTGATTCATTAAAATATTATTAAAATTGGTAAGCCCCTCACGAGACTTATCAAAAAAAAAAAAGAAAAGAAAAGGGGCCCAAATAAAATCAAAAATTAAAAGGGAGAAATAATAACACAACAGGAACAGAAACAACTATAATAGAATATTACCATAAAATATATGCCACACATTGGACAATCTAAAAGGATAAATTCCTAGAAATATATTAATTCCCAAAACTGACAACAGGAAGAAATAGAAAATGTGAACAGACTGATAACCAGCAAAGAAATCAAATCAGTAATCAAATATCTTCCAACAAACAGAAGTCCAAGACCAAATGGGTTCACAGGTAAATTCTACCAAACATTTGAAAGAGTTAATACCTATTTCTTCTCAAACTATGCCAAAAAAATTGAAAAAGAAGGAAAACTTCTGAATTTATTCTATGAGGCCAGCATTATCTGGATACTAAAACCAGATAAAGACTCCACAAAAAAGGAGAGAAATATAGGCCAGTATCTCTTTGGGCTGGGGATTGGGAGGAATTGGGAAGATGTTGTTTAGGGATAAAAACTTACAACCAATAGATAAATAAGTCTTAGGCATCAAATGCACAGTCATAGTTACTATAGACAGCAATTCTGTATTATATACTTCAAAGTTACTAAGAGACTAGAGTTTAATTATTCCCACCACAAAAAAGAAATGATAATTATGTGACATAATAGAGGTTTAGTTGATGCTACCATGGTAATAATATTGTAATACAGAAATGTTCAAAGCAACTTTTGTATACACTTGAAACTTACACAGTGTAATATGTCCATTACATTTCAATAAGATCATAAAAAAAAAGAGGCCAGCATTCATCTATCTTAGATAAACTAGTGGACATTAAAAAGTACAATGGAAAACCTACTACTGTATAACAATATATAAGAAAAAGAACATATTTACTATAGCATGTTTTGAATTTATGGTTTTTCTTTTCAAAGTAGGCTACCCCCAGTTTGAGAACATAATTATAAGCACACAACACTGTCATGAAACCGAAAAAATAATAAACATGTATCATTTAAATTGTAGGACTGTTGGCAGAATCTGAAATATAAAACGCACCAACTCTCCAAATCACAAGGATATGTAAGTTTTATGAAAAGAAAAAAGTAACATAGTTAGTCTTTCTTCAAAAGCCCTATAGTGTGATAATTCTGAGTAGTTAAAATTACAATAAAAAATGACAAAAAATGTGTATCCCATGATATGAATATAATTCTATTATAAAATTTAAATTATCTTCTCACCTGCTCTGGGTTTGCTATGAAGTTTATGGCGGTATGGTGGCGATCATCTTCCTGTAATAAGCTGAAGGTAAACTGATAGTCAATCAAAAGGCTGTCTGTGGGGGAAAAAAAATACAATCCTGATATACACTTTTACAAACTGATAAAAACAAAAGTTCGGTGAAAACATACTGTATATTAAAAATTAAAATATTTATCATTTGTAAAGATATGTATTTTATTAAATATACTTTAAAATCTATTAAAATAGTTATTAAATAAATTAAAACAATTTTAAAATATTTTATTAAAATAATTTTATGAAAAATAACTGTCATTAATTATTAGTGGTCCATTCAAGACTTTGTCATCAAGCAACAAAAAGCAAAATAAAGATATGAAAGAAGTCCTATGCTTTAAAAACTGTATTTATTACTTCAGTTGTCATTACAAAAGTTCTACAAACAGAATAGACATTCTGGAAAGTACACAAAAGTAAGAAAATAAACTAAAAGTCACCCATAACCTTACAATTAGAGAAAAATACAGGCAATATTTTGGTGCATTTTATTCCAGTTAAAATTTTGTAGATAGAAAAATAGGCAGGCAGGCATTTTGGTACCCTACTTTCAAAAAACCAAAATTCCTTGAAAACATGAACTTTAATAGATAAATAATATTCTATCACATAGTATAATGCATTTATTCCTTTATTATTGTGGTAATTTTTACCGTTAACAATTTTAAAATGCCTGTGTGATAAGCATCATTCTACAGAAGTGATTCATTAACAACTGACAAAAAGAAATTGGGGATAAACAACTTTTAATTTTGTTCATGTATAATGTTGAAACCAAGGTACAACATCTGAGTCTTTTATATCATGAATAATTTCATATTTTATATAAGAGTGGAGAAATACTCATTAATTAAACTGCCACCTTTACAAAAACATTTCAGATTATTTTATTTTAAAGATTTATTTATTTATTCATGAGAGACCCAGACTGAGAGAGAGAGGCAGAGACATAGGCAGAGGAAGAAGCAGGCTCCTCACAGGGAGCCTGATGTGGGACTCGATCCTGGATCCCAGGATCATGACCTGAGCCTAAGGCAGACGCTCAACCACTGAGCCACCCAGGTGTCCCCATTTCAGATTATTTTAAACAGAGATGACTTCTATTCTTTGGATACCCACCTTTCATGTTATGCCCTCAGTCATTAAACACTATTAAAATAAAAAGTAAAGATAGGAATACTATCACTGCAATTATTGTTAAAATTACCAAGGCATGATTCTTTATGTTGATTACTACATACTTTATAAGATCTACCTGATATATTTCTTGTATAATTTAGTATAAGGCAACATTTTGTCTTCCTCAGAACTTGTATGAGATAATGAGAATTATGCAATAGGTCATATTTCCAATTTCGATCTGACTGCCAGAAACTGCAGAGGCAAATTCAATAGTCCAGTGTGTTCTAGGCACTGGAGACACAATAAAAAAAAATAAAATTAAAAAAATTAAAATTAAAATTAAAAAAGTCTTTCCTCATGCAACTTCCATTCTACTGGAGAGAAATGGGAAATTAATAAGTAACTTAAGTATATAACAGATGACAGTAAGAGTATGGAGACTAATAAACAGTGAAAAGGAGAGAAACTGCTGTCAGAGTAGAATGGTTGCCATTTTGAAAAGGAACATTTAAAGACCAAAGATAGTAGGAATATAAGCAATAGAGTTTACTGAAGAAAACGCAATCCAGGCAGAAGAAACAAGCACAAAACTCTCAAAAAAGATAAGTCTTAACTATGATTCTTGTGAAAAAAAGAAAAAAAGAAAAAAAAGGTATGGCAAGATAAAGGCCACAGGTGATAGTGGCAAGGCTACTAAGAGTGGAGGTTACAAGAAGAGGTCAGACACTTGGAACGTACTGGTAGGTACAACATACAGATTAGCTCAATAACTGCATGTACTATTTGAAAGAAAAGTAGAGCTTTTTTGATCCCAGACTACACAAAATGTCAGCATTAACAAAGATGAGTAAGAAGACTAGGTTTTATTTTGGAGGAGCCAGAGGAAACATTAGGAGCCTAGTTTTGGAGATATGAAGGTGAGTCACTTATTGAATTTCCAAGTGATATGTTGAATTGAGTTTAGAAGCTTGTTTGGTAGGTAACAATTTGCAAATTATCGACATTTTAGGTGAAATTTGAAACCCTGAAGCCAAGAAATTACCAGTTATAAATAGAGCAGAGGTGCAGGGGATAAGCCCTGAGGCATACCAATGTATATAATCAGATCCTCAGGAGACGGAGATAGCAACCTGTGAGACAGGAATAAAACCAGAATTTAGGGAGTCAAGTAAATATGTTGTTTAACAAAGAGGAGTTACCACCCTGGTCAGTTTCAGCTGGCAGGGGTTTAGAGGTAGGCTGGCAATATTGAGGAAAGGTAGTATCTATTCAAAGTGAGGGTAAAAATAAGACTGAGGAAAGGTAAGCGCTTCAAAACTAGCTTCAAGAATTTGCATAATTCGGGATCCCTGGGTGGCGCAGTGGTTTGGCGCCTGCCTTTGGCCCAGGGCGCGATCCTGGAGACCCAGGATCGAATCCCACGTCAGACTCCCGGTGCATGGAGCCTGCTTCTCCCTCCGCCTGTGTCTCTGCCTCTCTCTCTCTCTGTATGACTATCGTAAATAAATAAATAAAAAATTAAAAAAAAAGAATTTGCATAATTCTATTTACTTTTTTCTAGCTTGAAACTAAGTACTAAAAAGTCAGGAGTAGACAGCTCTGGGAGGTCAGGACTAGTAACAAGGGACACCTGTACAGCTCTGAGCAGAGGCTGAAGCCTGCAAACATTCTTTTGCCTTTATGCACTCTAGGCCTGTGTCACAATCATACTCCATCACACTCTTGACCAGGCATTCAACTTTGATTTTACTATTCTCTCTTATTAGAGTTGGAAGTACAAGACTAGCACAACGTATATTATATATGCTATGATCAGTCCTACTGTCACTTGGGCTAAAAAAATAAGTCCGAATCCTGAAACAAAATTCGTAGGAGTACTATTCAATTCAAGTAAGTGATAAGAGAACCTGTCAGTGAATGTTAATTATTTTAAGCTGAAGTTTATACTTTTAACAAAATATTTTCTTTTCAGGCTTAGAATCAAAATTCCCCAGAAGCCAGCTGTGTAATTTTCCACTTAACCAGGAGATAGGGACGCCTGGATGGCTGGCTCAGTGGTTGAGCATCTGCCCCTGGCTCAGGGCGTGATCCACAGTCTCAGGATCGAGTCCCACATCAGTCTCCCTGCCTGGAGCCTGCTTCTCTCTCTGCCTACATCTCTGCCTTTCTTTCTCTGTGTCTTTCATAAATAAATAAATAAAATCTTTAAAAAATAAAATAATAAAATAAAATAAAATAAAATAAAATAAAATAAAATAAAATAAACCAGGAGATAATCTATTTCTCCTCACACCAGTTTTAAACATCATGTTGGTGTATTTTTAGGGGGATTGCAAATGAATAATTACCTGGTACTTAAAATATGTATCTCAAAGCTGAAATTTACTCTGAACTTCTTAGCTAAATAGAGTACAGCACATAAAATATTAAAATTTAAAGAATATAAATAATAGTGAAAGGGAATAGAAGGGAAGGGAGAAGAAATGGGTAGGAAATATCAGAAAGGGAGACAGAACATAAAGACTCCTAACTCTGGGAAACTCGAACTAGGGGTGGTGGAAGGAGAGGAGGGCGGGGGGTGGGGGTGAACGGGTGACGGGCACTGAGGGGGGCACTTGCCGGGATGAGCACTGGGTGTTACACTGTATGTTGGAAAATTGAACACCAATAAAAAAATAAATTTATTATTTAAAAAAGTAAAAAATAAATAAAAAATAAAATAAACAAAATAAAATTTAAAGTATGTATCAAGTTTATGAAAATGTACATACTTTGAAAATATCTTTTTGTACTGCTTTAATGAACTACTTTATTATGCTATAGAAAGAAAGTCCTGTTTGACTACAATCAACTTATTGTGTTATTCATAATTAAGGAATAATGACAAAGTAGCAGAAGTGTGATCAAGAGAGGTGAAAGAATTACTTTTATTTTTAATTCCAGTATAGTTAACATGCAGTGTTAAATTAGTAAATTAGTTTCAGATGTACAATAGAGTAATTCAACAATGTATAGAAATACATTACTCAATGCTCACCAAGCTAAGTGTATTCTTAATCCCTTACACTTATTTCACCCCTCCCACCTCTCAACCCACCTCCCCACTGGTAACTGTCAGTTTGTTTGCTCTGTATACTTGAGTCTGTTCTTTTGTTTGTCTCCTTTTTCTGGTTTGTCTCTTTTTATTTTTCCTTCCTTCATTTAAATCTTCACTCAAATCTCACGTATGAGTGAAATCATAATGGTATTTGTCTTTCTCTGGCTGACTTATTTTGCTTAGCATTATACTCTCTAGATCCATCCATGTTGCTGCAAATGACAAGATTTCATTCCTTTCTATCATTGAGTAATATGCCATTGTATATATATGCCACATCTTCTTTATCCATTCATCTATCAATGGACACTTGGGCTGCCTCCATATTTTGGCTATTATAAATAATGCTACAATAAACAGGGATGCATATATTTTTTCAAATTAGTGTTTTCATATTCTCTTGGTAAATACCCAGAAGTGGGATTACTGGATCACACGGTATTTTGGTTTTTAAATTTTTGAGGTTCTTCCATACTGTTTTCCACAATGGCTGCACCGGTTTGCGTTCAAATCAACAATGCACAAGGGCTTCTTTTTATCCACATTCTCATCAACACTTGTTTCTCGTGTTGTAGACTTTAGCCATTGTGACAGGTGTGAGGTGATATCTCATTGTGGTTTTGATTTGCATTTCCCTGATGATCAGTGATGCTGAGAATCTTTTTATGTGTCTGTGGTCATCTGTATGTCTTCCTTGTAGAAATGTCTATTCATGTCTTCTGCCCATGTTTTAATTGGATTATTTGTTTTTTAGTGTTGAGTTGTATAAATTCTTTTCATATTTTCATAAGTTCTTTTCATATTCATTGAGTTGTATA